TTTAAGTATCATTTTCAAACTTATTCGTCTTTAAGTCATCTTTTTTATCAAATAGTTGTCAATAAGTACACATTTTAAAGTATTTTTAAATTCTTTCTAAAATGTATTTCATAATTACTCCTACCATAAATAATGTATACCAACTTGAATGTGAGACTTGAGACTTTCAAGATTAGAATGTGAGATTTTCAAGATTTTTTTTGATATTTGTGTATCATTTGAATTTTGAAATTATATATATAGACACACACACACACACACACACACACACATATATATATATACACACACACACACGTAATACAGTGACATGTTCAACAAAAAAAGACTAACATCAAACAGTGACATGCTCAACAAAAATATTTATGTTAACTATTTGATGTTACTTTTTTTTTGTTGAATGTGTTACTTTTTGATGTTACACTTTTTTTGTTGAACGTGCCACTGTTTAATGTTACTATTTTTTTGTTGAGCGTGTCACTGTGTTTAATGTCACTATATTACGTTATATATATATAAAATTTCAAAATTCAAATGATACACAAACATCAAAAAAAATCTTGAAAGTCTCACATTTTAATTTTGAAAGTTTCGCATTCAATTAGGTATGTACTATTTATGGTAGGGGTAAAAGGACTTTTATAACTTTTTTAAGCATATGTATTTATATCTCAATTATTTTAAAAAGTGTATTTTTATCCTATTAAATTTTTTAAGAGGTACCGGCCTCCCTAAACCCCAAAAGAATAAGGAACTTATTATTATTTGAAGTTTAAGGTACAACTTTAAAAGTTAACATCAATTCTAAAATATTGTGATCAAACCTGAAAAATACATATATATATACACACACACACACGTAATACAGTGACACGTTCAATAAAAAAAGAGTAACATCAAACAATGACACGCTCAACAAAAATATTTGTGTTAACTGTTTGATGTTACTATTTTTTTGTTGAATGTGTTACTTTTTGATGTTACTCTTTTTTTGTTGAGCGTGTCACTGTTTGATGTTACTATTTTTTTGTTGAGTGTGTCACTGTGTTTGATGTCACTGTATTACATTATATATATATAAAAAATTTCAAAATTCAAATGATACACAAAATCAAAAAGAATCTCGAAAGTCTCACATTCTAATCTTGAAAGTCTCACATTTAATTAGAGTAGGGGTAAAAGGACTTTTATAACTTTTTTTAAGCATATGTATTTCTATCCCAATTATTTTAAAAAGTGTATTTTTATCCTATTAAATTTTTTGAGAGGTACCGGTCTCCCTAAACCCCAAAAAAATAAAGAATTTATTATTATTTGAAGTTTAAGGTACAACTTTAAAAGTTAACATCAATTCTAAAATATTGTGATCAAACCTGAAAAACACAATTATTAAAAGGTCGAGTTATACCTTGCAAAACACATACCGCAACTAATGATTGATGATGAAATTTTGTGATTGATTAAGAATAGTTGTAAATTTTCATTTGTAAGGTGAAGTCTAATAAGACAGTGGGAAAAAAAATCGATACGAGAACTTCATCCTAAAATTCATATTAAATATGAGCATCTCATACCTTAACTCAAATTTGAGTAAAAAATTTAATTTAAAATGAATAAATTCAAATTTAAAAGATAACAAATTCAAATTGAAATGAGTGTGAAATAGTATTATTTAATCTTTAAAATAGAATAAAATCTGATAATTAGTAATTTAAGTAAAGATTTGAATTTACTTTGATTTGAGTACATTTTTTAGTCTTCATTGATTTGATATGGATTTGAGTAAAACAT